CATCCACAGTGGCCAAGAACAGCTGTGCTCTGTTCCCTGTTCTGATGCCCCTGATTCCCCTCAAGGCTATGTTACACAAGATCTTCTCAGATGTTCAAAAACCAAGAGCCACATCAGGGCCAGGAAAGACCAAATCAACATCTGCTGGACAATTTTCTCTCAAAGAAATCACAGTGAGGGTGCAGGATATGTAGATGTTATTATCTGGGTGTACTTTTATTAAGACTGAACATCATGTGCTCTCATAGTCTCCACTGACCCCCAGCACATTTTTGGTGATGCTGGTAGTGCCAGCAGCCTGGGATCTCAGTTCCAGTCATCCTGCCTTCTTGCAGGCCCATGGGTAGAGGCAGGTAATCTGTCCCCAGATCACCTCATCCTTTCAGCCAGGGGCTGCTTTAAGCTGGGGGACAACCACTTTCATGGCATTCGGGTCCAGTGTGCAACTTCTTCTCTCCAGGAGCATCAGATCCCTGGAGACACTCTGGGCAATGGAGGTGCCCTATTGTGGAGATGTAGGGGTTGTGGAAAGCCAGGATATGCCTTGTCCTCAAGTCAAACCCCAGAAAAGCAGGTTGTTGAATACCTGTGAAAACCCACCACCAAGCACTGACAAACCCAAACCCCTTAGGAACCTTTTGCAAGATCTCACTGACCAACAAACTGCTGACCTCACCCCCATTCCCATCTCAGACATCCCTGTGGCCACTCCATCTCTGCTCTAACCAGGGTTTCCTGATTGAAGTCAAACCTCCTCCCCAGCATTCTGTGCCATCAGAGAAGCCACTTTGCCTTTCAGCTGCCAATTTCATGCGAATCTTTGATTTGCCAGCACCTGCCAGGTGGGACACGGCAGGATCCCTGAGCAGTGCAAGAGCCGCAGGGATGATCCACGCAATGCCTGAGCTGCAGCCGGATCTGGAGGGAGAATGATAGCCTGTGAGATCTGACACGCTCACAACAAACCCAGCTGGCTGGCACACACACCAAGCCCAAAACACCCCAGGCCACCCCCCTCCTACCCTTCTGATACCATCACACCCCTCAGCAGTTAATTAAAAAAGGATTAAAGCAAGGCTGTAAGGACGTGGGCGATGCTGAGGTCAAGGGGTGCCTTGCAAACATACGCCAAGCCCCGCAGCTGGTGCTGGGACAGGGGGCTGCCTGCTGGTGAATTCAGCTTCTCCAAGAATAAGGCAGGTCTAATCCAAGACCCAGCAACCTATCCGGGCTGCTTGCCTGTGGCAGTGCTGCTCTGCACAGAGAGCTGCAGGGCAAGGATTGGGATGAGGGATGTGGGAGCCTGCAGGGTAAGAGAGCAAGAAGTTATGGCTTGTTTTCCAGTGCTTCCATGCTGTCCTGCTGGCCCTTCCAGAGCTCATACCTTTACCCCACATGAGCCACGTGCACTCATCCCAACCCTGGCAGTGAGGTTCATCTCGTGCAAGCAGCTCTGTCACAACAGTACAGGCTGTTCCTACCTGCTCCCTGTTTCCGAAAATATTAATGTTTCACCAGGGCAGCGCTCAGAGGCTTTTTCCAGCCAGAGTGATGCCAGGTAGATAGGTCCTTCCCACATCCAGCCTCATAGAAAGCTCTGGGAATATGTGTGTGGATGAGGCACAATGCCAAAGAGTCCCTCATCTTACCTGGCTGAGATGCCATGATCATGGATGGCTGGAAGTCACCTCTGCAGGAGGATTAACACTGGGGTTAAAGCTTCAGTATCAGTAAGTCACACCTTCAAGGGGGGACATTTTTTCACAAGGAGGTGGAAAACATCCTGGCTGACTCTGAGGACGCTCCTATGCTGTTCAAAGGTCTTTGAGAGCAGACTCCATGACATACCTGGGAAGCTCCCACATGGAGAGAAGCAGAGGGCAAAGCTCAGCAGGAAGGGTCGGGGGAAATAGAGACTGTGGAAGATGCAATTTGCTGGCACAAGGCAACAGGTCCAGGTCTGAAACTCACCTGAAGAAGAGATGTCTCAGGCTGGTGATGGACTGCACCAACATTCCTGATGGGAACCCTCTCAGCTTGTAATCTCTGCATGGAGAACTGTCCCTGCAGGACACAAGCTGGCTCCTCAGCAGCAGATCCATGTCCCACCCAAGCCTATAACATGGGGCCAGAGCCTGCAGGGAAGACAGGTGAGTCCATGGTACATTAAGTCCTCCCCACTTCTCCCAAACCACTCTCATGTCCCTCAATGCATTTTTTTTTTTTTTTGGTTCAGCCCCAAACCCACCTCTTTCAGAGTGACTTGGCCAAAACAAGCCTGAAGAGCTCAATAAAGTTCTTTATGGTCTTTTTACCTCTTTCTTCTATGAAAACTGCCTAAGGGCCTCCTGCTCCCTGGAGCCAGCTGCTCCATGCAGGACCTGACCACTTTTTATGTCCTAAGTGCTCCCAGTCAAAGAATCACAGAATGGTTTGGGTTGGAAGGGACCTTCAAGATCATCTCATTACAACCCCCTGCCATGGGCAGGGGCACTTTCCACGAGACCAGGTTGTTCATGGCTCCATCCAGTCAGACCTGGAACACTTCCAGGGATGGGGCAGCCACAGCTTCTCTGGACAACCTGTGTGAGTCCCAGTGACCTCAGTAATTGCTGCTGTCCCCTAAGCAACCCATGCTACTGTCACCCAGCCTTAAAAAGTTTCCTCCCTCATTACCTTGCACTTGCCAGAGAAGGGCTGATTCATCCATTCTCTGCCTCAGGCATCCCACTCAGCCACTGATGATTGAGTTACTTAACAATTAAGCAGAGCCTTAAACCTTTGCAGCACTTAACATGTATTGACTAATTAATCCAAGCTTTATCTGAGGTAGGTTAGTTCAGTCTTGCGTGTAGCTTCCAAACATGCCCATGGCCGCCTCATTGGTCAAAGGCAGAAGCAGCTCTGCAGAGATGATGGGAGGTCCATCATTCCCACTGCCCACCCTTCGAAGAAGGACCCATGTAGCACTGCCTTTCTGTGCTGTGACTTCAGAGATCACTGGGCCCAGGGGACCATGTCTCCAGCCCAGGACTCTTGCCAAGCTTGCCCTCAAATGGCCTTTTCTCCTGCATCTTCTCTGGTGCTCCATGATTGCTTCATTCCCTGCTCTCCCACCCAGTGGGGCTCTGGGCACATCCACCAGCCGAAGCCAACTTGCTTGGACAAGCACCAAGTTGCCCAAGGCTCTGCCAGACCTCGAGTGCAGGTGGGATAAACCTTCCCCTGGGGTCTGGCTGGCAGCCATCCATGAGTTCTGCTGACGCAGGAGAACAAACCTGGCCTTAGGACAGTGACAGGTGAGCACAGCACAGCACTCTGCTGCATCCTGCTGAAGTGACACCAGGGGAGCCAGGCTTCCCCCTCAGCCTATTCACAGGGACTGTCTCAGCCACATCAAACCCCACATTCCAGTCTCACTGTCAGCAGGGAACAAGGCCAGGTGTGGAAGGCAAGGAACCCGTTCCCTACATGGATGAGCTGCACAGGAACTTTGTGCAGATGAGAGGGATGGGGAGGTGCAGGGACACACCCAGGGTTCTCCAGAGAGTCCATGAGAGAGGTCAGTGCCTCAGTGGCTCCTAGTCCTGGGCTTTGAGAGAGGAAAAGGGAAGGGGTTGGCAGTAGGTAAAACCAGGGAGTTGGGGGCCTGAGCTGGGTTCCCAGCCACACAAGCCCTGGGGCCTGATCCTGAGAAAATCATTTCATTTTCCTCCAGTGCAGTCACTCTAGTTCCAAGATTAAAGGAATGCCTTGTTCCTTTTGCCCCACAGGTTCCCCACCATTAGCTAAGACAAAGAGAGACATCAAAACTCTTGCCATACCATGAGCCTCTTGCACTGGAGCACAGGATCCCCCCAGCACAACAACAGAGACCCAGAGATCTTTGACATAACACTGACACCAAAATATTTCAGCCCATCTGAGTCCTCTGAGCACCTCTTACCCTTTTTCTGCCTCCCTGTCACCCCAGGGTTTCAGCTCAGTGATATCCCCAGCCTGACAGGCAGGTGATGAGCCTTGAGAGACGCTTGATGTGAAGGACATGGCAGAAGAAAGGGACTTTGTCAACCTGGGGAGTCATGGAGAAGCCAGGTGGAAGAGAGCTTAATCCGAACAACCTCACTCAGGAAAGCCAGGACCAGTGGAGTCTGGATCTGCCCAGCCCATGTGGAGCCTGTAACAGCAAGGTGCTGGTTTGAGTCAAAAGGCATCAGCCTGCAGGTTATAAAAGCATCTCTGATGCTTGTAAGGGTGCCCTTCACATGCCCTCCACCTCATGTGGCTAAGGATGGGCTCCTGACTACCCCATGGATATCACCACCATTTTCTTGCTTTTTAACACATCTAACAACAACAAATGCAGAGGAGAAACTCCTCTCCCTATGAAATTCACCCCAGAAAATCCTGAGTAGTAAAGCAGAGCAACTTGTGGACCAACTCTTTTCCTCTGGGTCTTAAACCATCACATTTTTTTTTTTTTTTTCTTGACTGAATATGTGCTGATCTCATTCATCCTGGGAAAAGCACGGGGTGTTCTCATCCCGGCTATACCTGGCAAGCTGCACACAGTGACAGAGGGAGCGAACTTCTGATCAGGCTCTGCAGTGGCTGCTGCCCAGCTTCTTGTGGCTCTTTCCTGGAGCGAGAGGCCGGCTTCTTTACCTGGCATTCCTGGGAGAGATGAAGGGTAAGTCAGCAAATCAGCTTCATGCACTGCAGACATCCTCTGCTTTCAGCCATAGCAGAATTAGCTCAGGTCGGGATTTGCTAGTAGCTGGGCAGAAAAACATCAACAGGGCTTTTACCCCCCCTCCACCTCCTTTGGAAAGAAAAGGCAAGAAAATGTTTTTAACGTGCTGCGTGCAGGCAGGTTGCGGGAGCCGTGTTCCCCGGCACGGCTCAGCAAGCACTGCCGGGGAAATCAACAGGGAACGTTCCTGATGCTATTTTAGACATCGGCAGAAAACGCCAGATAGCAACACCGAGTTCGACGGGGCTGCACAAACCCCGGAGCGGCGGCGGCACGGAACGCAGGGACCCGCTCCCGCCGATGTGTGGGTTGTCAGTCGATTTGTTGATGAGCTTGCTAACCACGACGTTGCTTTGACATGTCAGCTGGCGAGCCGGCGTCTGGATGCCTCGGTGTCATGCAGGCAGCTCCGTCTGAGCCCTGCGGAGAGCAGCTTAGATCCGCTGGCCGGGGTTAAAAATGAGCCGCAGTTAAGCTGCTGAAAGGGATCCGCGCTGCCGCCAACGTGAGTGCTCCGCGCCTGCCAGCGCAGGTGGAAGTGCATGCCTGTCTCCAAGGGGGGATGCAGCTCTCGCCGGGTGACTGCCGGCTCCATCGGGAGCGTCCTGGCTTGCTTGCCGGGGAGAGGATGGAAAGAGGGCATTTTACGGGATTGATGCAGCCAGTGATGCTGCTGAAGGCAGAGTGTGAGATTAAAGGCGGTATCTGAGCATAAAGATACCGCAACCTGATTTAGGAATAATGAATATAGCAGGGCTGGCTGCTGCAGGAAATATCCCCTTTGTAAGTCGGGCTGTTTGGAGCAAAAAAAGAGCAATTATGTGGATTCTGCTGCAGCTCATTGTGGTCGGGTTAATTTGGGAAAAGGGTGCTTGCTGGCAGCTAAAGGAGGCAGCCTGGCAGAAGGGTTAAAATGTGCAATTATCAGACCAGGCTGGGCTTTGAAATGGTACAATAATCCCAAGGCAGGGGAATATTTTTTGGTATGATTTATCTTCTGAATTAGTCGGGAGCAGGAAGATCTTAACTTAGAGGGCTACTCTTAATAATTTTTTTTTTTTAAATTTTAAAAATATTTTCAAAGACAGACCCTGTTTTGCAAAGCCCTGACACCACAATGACAGGCACTGCTGATACCAGCTGTCCTGCCTGCCATCTGAATGCCAGGCCTTCCCAGAAATGCTGCTTGTGAAAGATCCGTCACAGGGAAGTTTTTAACGCCCCGGTTTTGTGTGTGGGTGCGAAAGCACATCTGTGTTTGGGGAGAAGAGACATGAACTGCTCATTGTACCCCAAACTTGGCTGTGCAGCCAAGGAATTACTGTAGCTGTGATGATGAGTGTTAGGCAGGGCTGTGCTTTTAAAAGGACAGCCTGGCTGGGTTTAAACTAGAGCTTTCAGCGCTCATGGTCTTGGGCATCTCATAGATAAAACTGATGCCTGTTCCTCAAAAGCTGGTGTCAGATGCCTGGTGCTCTGATAGGACCTCCTGCATGGACACAGCAAGGACACAAGGTCTGAGTTGATTCATAGCTCTAGCTGGGGTGGCATAGTGAAAATGCCATGGAGAGCGACTTGGCAGGGTTGATTTGGACAGGATGGGGATTGGAAAGGAGGGCAAATGGCAGTGAATCTTCGTGGAGAGAAGGTGACCAGGGATCAAAAGGGAGAGATGGCATTGGTGTGTGCTGGGACAGGTCTGGGATGTGAAGGGGACAAGGGTTTGTGATGGCAGGGAGTGCTTCCAGTACTAACCCATCACATGTCAGCAATGCACAAAGCCACAAATGAGAGATATTGTACATTTGCAAGAAAAGGGGAATATGCTCCTTCCTCATTTCTCTACTAAAGTTTACATTGCAAACTGTGCCTCAGCTCTCCTTCCAGAGGGAAAAGAGCAGTTGCTGTGAAGGCTTATTTTTTAAAAAGCAGTAGCACAAGGAACTTAAAGCACAACCTTCCTCTGACATAACCTTACTCTGATCTCATTCCCAGTGGCTGCTTCAGGGCTGACCAGAATGAAACCATTCAGCAGTGTAAGAGCACATCCTCTGCAGAAGCAGCAGCCTACCTTGGAGGGCTACTTCATTTTCATTCATTAAATTTACTGTTTGTATTATTTTGTTTAATGCTGTTGAGGGAAAAGGGTCCTCTCTGCTGAGCATTCCTATTAAAACACACCTATTAAACCTCACCCCACAAAATCACACGGCCTGGCTGGTGCTAGTGGCAGTCCTGCTGGAAGGTTACAGGAACCAAGCACAGACCAACGCTGCTGTTGTCAAAGGCCAGGGATCTGCTGCTATGAGAGCAAGTACAATGAGGGAGGGAGGTTTTACAGCTTTCTAGCTGGCAGGAGATGTTCCAGATGACTTTTTCCTTCACCCTTCATCTAATGTGAAAAAGGAGATGGAGTAAAGGCTGTCCCTTCATGGCTTGTTGACAGCTTTTCAGGCAGAGGTTGGGAGGAACCAGTTAACACCTGGGTATTCCTGTAATTTAGTTCTTCCAGCAACTAATGCTTGTTCTTGATCTGTGTTTTCAGAAACCTCTCCATCCACCTCTGAAGCATGGTCACTGTTTTGCTTGGCAGGGTCAGAATCCTGGTTATCACTTGCTATTGACATGGGCATAGCATTTTATTCTTTCCACCTTCCCTCCATGAAAAGATGAAGCCCCACCAGCAAACTGATCCAGACTGCTCTGTTCTCCTGGGGTGACATCACACGGTGCCTTTCTCTGCCATGGAGCCCTGTGTCAGTGCAAGCTGCACTGAGAACATGGACCAGACCCAAAACTGGGTGAGGGCAAGGGCCTCCAACACCCCACAGCAAGGGGAATTGTATCACATGCACAGCAAACACTTTGCCAGTGGCTGCACCATATACTGAAGCAACCCCACAGCCTGCAGCCCTGATACAAAACCACTGACCTGAACAGCAGCCAGATCATTTTTCTTATGAGAATGCACCATTCTTGAGCAATTTTTCCAGCACATCCCACGCAAACAGGTTTCCTGTGAACACTGCACGGCAGCATTTACCATCTCATGCCAGCTCTTGTTTTTCCCTAATGGCAGGGGTTGGGAGGGCTCTCACATATCACTGGTGTGACAGTGCTGGTGGGCACAGAATCTGAGGGGTATCCTCATTGAAAATCGAGCACTGAACCATTTCATGTCACCAGTTCTGCTGAAGATAAAATTACAGGATGGTTTGGGTTGGAAGGGATCTTAAAGATCATCTATTTCCAACCTTAAGTTAGACAAGGTCACACCTTTCTGCAGAAATCTGAGATCCTGGACCTTGCACATACATACTAGTCTAATAACACATTCTTCATCTTCTTATCACTGCAACAGCTTTTCCAGGAAGGGCACGTTCACTCATCCCAGCTGGCATGCAGGGGGTTGCAGAAGCAGTGTTGATCCCTTAACACTGACACTAACTCCAGTTGTTTGGGATATTATGCTAAATTAGCTGATATTCTTGGTGGTAAAAAGGAAATGTGGAGGGAAATGGAGAGTGTCTGTAGAGTCTCATTTATGGCCCAGTGCATTTTGTGCCCACTCTGACCTGGAGTTTAAGCTACTGTGGAAGCAAGGAGATTTTAAGGCATTTTTTTGGCCCAATTTATCAACTTCCATTGCACAACAGCACCTCGGGGCAGCCAGGGTGTATCACCAGATACATTAACTGGGCTTCTTAGTGGTGAGTGATGGCCATGTGCTATTTGTTCATAACTAAGAAAAAGAAATGGCCAAAATCCCTCTCTTCCCACTGGCAGAGATAGAGGGATGTTTCTACAGGAGCAGCTCTGCTCCTTGGCAGCCACTACTTTTTGATCCAAGCTTGCAATCTCCTCATTCCCTCATTTCTGTATGCAGGAGGGAGGAGGAAGCAAAAGCAGCTATGCTTCTACTTGTCTGGCCCTGGTACCCCATACACTGATCTGATGGGAAGACCAGGGCAGAAAAGGTATTTATTCAAGATGATATAATTAACATTTCCCATATTGACTCATTTGGTAAGAGACTGATACTCTATTTCTCCCTTGATCACACTGAAAAGTCCATTAATTTTGAGCTGCCAAAAAAGAATTCGGGGATATAAAATTTGACCCTCAAGCAAAAAAAAAAAAAAAAAAAAAAAAAAAAAAAGAGCAGAAATTGAGTATTTTCCTTTATTTGTAATGCAATGCACTAAATAATGTTCAGCAGTGGCAAATGCCCAGGGAAAAGCATTTTATCATATAATTTTACAAGGGAGAGAAGAAGCAAACCCAATAGTTATGGACTCAGTGGATAGAGTGGATTGAGCCCTGTCCCTGTGCAATACTGGAGTCAGTCTGATCACCCTCCCATGTCTCTTGCACTTGTCCTGTCAGACCTATCTGAGGGTATTTGAGGTGATTCTTACCTAATTGTCAGGCACAGAAGCAACTTCTGTCTGGTATCACGACTGTGCCGTGAGCTGTGAGTTTCTGGGTTTGATTCCTGTGTTCACAAACTTCAAGTAAGTACCTGTTGGGAGAGGGAGAGAATGAGCTGGGTGGTAAGTTAGGTTCTTCTTGCCATTGTCAGAGGATTCAGTGTGGTTTGGAAGAGAGGCAAGAGACTTAAGAAAAACAATTCTCATATACACAAGTCTACAGAGAAAGCAACAATCAGCAGACAAAGAAAAACACAGCAACTTTAGCAACCTACAAAATTCACAGCAATGGTGCTGCACAGGGGGGGTTGCACAGGGGCATATGTGAAAAAGTTAAGTGGCCCCAAGAGTGAAAAAACATGCACAGCTGGCAGTATATTATGCAGTTCTCATCAGAGCATCCGAATTCCCCCTCAGTGAGCCGCGCTACGCTGCAGAGCAGTCTGTAATCAGGAAGCTTGGCAGTGATGGCAGAGATGTTCCTGGCATCCATTTTGACCAGTCCATTGTGAAGCCGTGTCTGCAGAGCCTCTCTGGGTACCAGAGAGAACAGAGGCCTCTCCTGCAACTGGGCAAGAGCTGTGGCTCTCCACACATTGGACAGGATCCACTTCAGCCCGCGGCACAAAGCCCTGGGAGCAATGGAGCTGGGGCCACGTTGCCTCTTTGTACCGAGTCTGGGCAGACACATCCAGGTCACTCACTCCAGACAGCATTCATGACCTGTGTCTTTGCTGTTTTTCAGTCGCCCAGAGGGGAGCTCAGAGCCTTGGCAGCAGCCCTGTCACAGTCCCCAGAGTCCCTGGGCTGTCCTGCCTGCTGAAGCACGGCTGGAGCGTGTGGCAGCTCAGGAACTTGGGAAGAGGCCACCACGTCCAGCTTGGATGTGATGTGCCTCACCCCACGGTGCCTTTTGGGTTCATTTAGGCACTCAGCTTATTCTTCAGTGGCTGAAGGGAGATCCAAGAACAGGATTTAGCTGTGGCTCACCCTCCCTTTCTCCTCCTCTATCCTCTAGAAAGAATAAATGCTAAAGAGAATGAAGGTCATCCACGGCCAAGGCAAGTCCACACTAATCCCTCTCTGGAGTCTTGGCCGAGTCCAGCTTTTAAGTCCTGGGAAGTATTAGCAAATGGATAATGGAACAGGAAATGCCAGATTTTGGTAGCTGTGAAAAGGAGAGACACACACGTTACCCATGCCGTGAGATAAAGGGGAGGGTTTCCCTCTCCTCTCAGGCTACGGATGCTAGAACTGAATGGACACGGTGTCCAAACTGGGTGAAAAAAGACTGTGCCACTCCTCTTGTGGGGCTTACAGGAAGGGGCCACACTGGGAAATGGCTTGAGGATGACTTTCATACTTGGTGCCTACCCCTGCTGTGCTTGCTTCCATGGAATTTTCAGTAGCTCCCCTTGCAGGCATTTGAGAGGGAACGAAAGCATGTCTGACAGCCCATTGCTCTTCCCTTTCCCTGCAGATCTTCCCTTTCATTTCTGAGCCCAGCTCAAAAAGGACTTTTCTCAGCCATCCTGGAAAAAGAACTGAAAGTGCGTGATCAGCTGAAAAAGCAAGCTCAAGCAGCTGCAAGCAAACCTGACACTTTCTGCAACATCCAAGAGTCCAGAAACTTTGTTTGCTTTGTTTCTAACAACTGATCAATTGAAACCAATCGATGAAATGCTGGGGGCTGGCACATTCCTGCCTCCACCCCATGGGCTCTGCCTGATCCTGATCCCAACAGCAGCCCAGAGCTGGCTCCCATGTAAATGCACACACAAGTACAGATCCTCCAGTGACATCTGATCCTCCAGGATATCTCATGGGTGTCTAATTATTATCTAAAGCCCAGCCTGGATAAAACAGAGGTTTTGATATCCCTTTTCTCACAAATCTTTTACCTAAATCTTCTCAAAACACAGTGGGCAACATTGTGGTTTATCTGCCATGCAGGCAACTGCTCCTGCTCTCCTTCAAAGCCCATTAATTGAGGCTGCAGTTAAACCTTGCAGAATTTTTCAAGCCCAGCTTCTCCAGCCCTGCAGGTAAATCTCTTGCATATCTCTTCCTTCATCTGTTACTGAAGCACTTCTCCTGGGCCCTGATCATACCTCAGTCTTACCCATTCACAACACCACCATGGAGATTTTTCTCCTAACCTTTCTCTTTTGGCCTGTTTCTCAGGCTGTACCCCTTCATGGGTTAATCCCTTCCAATGACACCAAACTCATGTCTTTGCTGTCAATGACCTGTGACTTCTCTGTCCATAGCCCTTCCCACCAACAACCAGCCCACAATGGTGGCCAACCTCCTTTCTCTCATGTCTTTGGAAGTGCTCTTCAAAAAACCTCCAAAAATCAGTCTCTGGTAGAAACCCATCTTTGCTCCCAGTATCTGCATACTGGTCATGTTGCCACACAACACATTGGTAAATATCACTTTCCTTCTCCATGTTCCCATTTGTCTGAGCCACCCATTTTCCTATGTCTTAATCTTGGAATAGCAAGAGTGAGGATTTGTTGCGTAGCACAGCTCAGCCCAGCTGCAGCTTCTTGTCCTATGGCAACAAGAACCAGGAATAATAACAGCAAGGTGGTGACTCATTAAAACCAATAACCTCAATAATTAGACTTACTTAACTTTTCCAATTGTATAAACAGCTGAGAAAAAAAAAAAAATAGAGTCTTATGCTTTACCAATATTTTTCCTTCTTCCAGTTTCCCACACAGAAATTGTCTGTATTGGCACTTGTCACAGTCAAATTTCCTCTCTCTCCACACAACAGTAAATTCATGGAGTGAACTGAAGTGTTTGCTTTGTCCATACTCTGTGAGTGCTGAAGACTCTCCAGCATCTCTTTTCTCTGAGCAAGGAGGAAACCAGCTGCAGCCCTGCCTTGGTGCCAACATTGTTCCAGCTGCTGTTGCTATAGGAAAAAAACCAAAGGCAGAACTGTCCAAGTTTCGAGTTCCTGAAAAAATCTGTTTAAGTCAGCAGGGATAGAAACTGGATGCAAATTTCTCTCCACATCTGATGATCAGTGGGTGCCATCTACCACTTCATTCAGCTGCTGCTGGTTGAAGCTGCATCCTGGTACAGCCTCTTTGCTCCCCCTGTGATCTGCCCCTCTTAACAGTTCCCTGCCCATTGCCAGAGGCAGAGAAAGAGGCTTGGACCAAGGAAAAAGCTGCCCATGGGATTAACAGAGGGTGTCTGTGGGACAAGGAGCCATCAAAGTAGGACAGAACTCAGAGAGCACTGGAGAGAAAGGTAGCCTGGGGCAAAACACTGGGACAAGACAGCTGGTGAGATAAGGAGCAATCAGGCTGGGAGGGGGTGGGAGAGACGAGGCAAGGGACCAGGGAGGAAGACCTGAGAGGACTGAGATGAAAAGGCAATGAACAGACCAAACTGCTAAGAGAGGTGGGCATCATCCCTGAGCAGAGCCTCACACTCCACTCCTCTTTCTCAGTCCTTGTCCCTGCATTTTGGGCACACCAGAACTTTGTGTTTAACTTTGTTTTTCTTTCATTTCAAAAAGGACCTCGGTCCCCTGTAGCTGGTGTGGCTGCAGAACAAGCACTGCCCTGGAAACGGCTGCTCTGACCCCACCAGGGCAACTGCCCTGCTGCCAGCATTGAGGGAACCTTAGTGTGGATCAGACCTCAGGAACCTGAGTGCCAAACCTGCCCTACAGACCTCACCCCCCTCCCAAAAGAAGCACACCAATGAGTACAATAATATGAAGTTAAAAATGGAAAGTGCTTTTGGAGAGAGATCAGCTGCTTTGTGAGGCAGCTGTATGTTCTGGAGCTCCTTTTGATGTAAATGTGTGAAATTACACATTTATTGCAGGATTCAAATGTAGCCATGGCAACATGATTATCAAACAGTTTCATATGGAAGTGTAAATCCATACAGGTTTCTGGCTGGCGAGATTAAACTGCCCAGAGACAGAGCTCAATGTATTCCAAGCTCAGACCCTCTGTGCCCAAAAGGATTCATCTCTGGCTTCTGTGCTTGGGAAAAATTCCATTTCTTTGCAAGCAAATTGGCTCCACTCAAGTGGGCCAAGCACCAAACAGATGGAGGAGAGCACTAAACAGGCCAGCACCCTCAGCAGAGAGGCAGCACCAGGTACTCCCCTGCACACTGCTGTACGAGGTGACCCTGTCCTGAAGGCTGATTTGGACAAACTCCTCTGCTCAGCCTTGCAAGGGCCAGGGACATTTCAGCCAGGAGCTGTGTCTGCAGAGCAGGTTTCAGTTACACCTCGAGCATCATCAGGCTATATTCATAGAGTCCCTGGGCACAAAAACAGGCTGGGCAGCCAAGGACACCCCCTCACCTCATGTGACAGTGATCTGGTGACATGGTGACATCTGAAGAGGGGACAGCAAAGCTGGCATGTGTACTGGCTGCAAGTAGGAAAGGGCTGTGCCCTTATAGCCTCAAAACCGTGACCTTGACAGCCATTCCTTGGAAACAGAGCTCATCCATTAATTTTCCACAGCTGTCAGTTCCAGGCTGAGCCACAGTGTCACAGCCAAGGAAAGTCAGGCACAGTCTCCTCCCCTGGATATGCAGCAGGCTCTGACACCTCATGTAACAGTGTCTGTACATAGACTGGGCTCAGCTCAGGGACCTTGTGTGTCTGGAGTGATGAGTATCATCAGGTGGACTGTGAAACAATAAGGGAAAGGGAAAGAAAAAGAGAAAAGAAAAAAAAAAAGAAAAAGAAAAAGAAAAAGAAAAAGAAAAAGAAAAAGAAAAAGAAAAAAAGAACATGCACCCCAGCACGGAAACAGACTGGTGGGAAGGAAATAGAGGTTTTAAATAGGCACTAAAAGATTGGCAGAATTTGGCTGTAAATGAAAACACAGTAGTGGAAGGGCAGAACTTTGTCATTGTTTTTCTTTTTTTTTTTTTTTTTCCAGAGCCTTGATGAGGCTCTTTCACTGAGAAACACAAAAGTAGGGCACAGTCCTGCAGCAGGCACCCGGGGTATCCACAGTCCTGAGGTTTGGGGATCTGCAGCAGGAGCCTTGGCATCCATCTGGAACCAGTGGAAAAGCAGGTTATCTCCACAACAACGTGGTGAGCAGCTTCATAGGACACCTAAAGCATCTGATGGCAATGCCCCCAAGCCATCAAGTAAAAATTCACAGGATGGCTTCTCAGTAGGATGTTTCTATAGTTAATTAACCTCTGGTCCTGATTTTCAGCAGGAACATCTCGTGTTTTCATCTCCAGCAAATGGCTCTAATAGATTTGACAGCCTGCTTTCAACTGGCACCCTCTTCTCCTGCAGATATTTCTGGGCAAAATCCCTTCTCACCTTCCCTACTGCAGTGTAAACATCCTGGAGCTCCACCACACTCCTGTTTCCAAACCTGTGAAGTCCCAGACGGTCCATCAACCATCCTCCTCAGTTTTGTACTCTGCATTGTGAGACTTTCTAGCAGAACCTCCTTACCTTTTCTTGGGGACTTTTTTAATAGTGATGTTTCATAGAGGATTTTTGGGTTGGGAAAAAATATAGGCTCTTGGCACTAAACACAGACCCTTCTCAGTAAACATGAGGCCCTTGATTTTAAAAGTGACAAACCTTGCTTTTTAATTTAAAATAGATTAATTTCCCCAAGCCTATTTAGAAAATAAAGAAAAACTATTGCTGTGCTAATTGCTATTACCAAATGATTTTCACATAATCTCCCACCTGTGGCCACACAGATACAGGTCATGCAAATGGACTTGGCATTCCAGGCTGCAGCAGATCAAGTATCAGGTTTCTGGCTAACCATGAATTATCACAAAAAAATAAAGGCATCCCAGCCCTGTCGTTAATTCTGCCTGAGTACCATGACTTGGGAGTGCTGCTGTGCTGTGCTGCCATGGCATCTGCTCCCCAAATTTGGCCTCTGCTCCTTGAGAGAATGAACCAAACCTCCCTAAGAGGGGAGGTGAAGTTGTTGCCCACATCTCCTCATTCCCCTCGCTGCAGTGCTCTCATTTCTATGCTATATTAGCATTCTGGAGAGCACTAATGGGTGTGAAGTGGCTAAAAGCCATTTTCTTTATTGCTGGATTAGTGCTGGAAGGGTATGAAACTGCCGGCGCTCGGCTGCAGCACGTCAGAGCTTTCTGCTCCAAGCAGACACGAGCGCTCAGAGCCCCGGCCCTCCTCACACAGCCCAGCTCACTGCTTTTATGAATGGAGTTAAAAACAACACACGCCTTGAAACTGTTGCTTAGAAGCTTTTTTTTTCTTCCTGGTGTCCTGACTGCTCCGGCCAATACAAGCCCCAGTGCTCCGGAGCAGTGCACAGCCATGAAAACAAGGAAGTGGGAGAAAAAGCAAAGCACAGGTTCCCTATCTGTTCCCTGCCTGCCTTTAGTTGAGCAATTATACAGCTCCAGATCTGTGATTATTCCTGGCAAGGTTTGTTCATCTCATGGGAGACTTTTGGAACAACATAGTGCTTTTGTAGGGAGTGTCAACCACCAGGCGAACGTGTCTTCCAGATCAGATTTTTTTTTTTTAAATATGTAAGTAATTGTTTCTTTACAGATTGGTCTTTGCCTTTTAATGACTCACATTTCTACCTTGTCAGCTTTCAGCACGGGCCCTGCCCTCCCTCCCAGTGCTACAATCCTCCCAGATCTCACCCACAGTGCCAGGTCACACCAGGTGAAATCCTGAAGGATGAGAATCCATTTTGTCGGTGCCCTATCCAGATGTTCTGCTTACAGGGGCTGCTTTTTTGGGGGCTGCAGAAACTACAGGCACAGCAGTCAGAAGACATAAAACCGAGGTACAAACCTGCCTCTAAAACACTGAAGTAGGGGTTTGTCTGTGGTTTATTTTTTGGACAAACCCAGACGCGTTTTCATGGCAATGGGGACAGATTCTCATCCCCAGCCCTGCTGCTGTGCCAAGAGTCTCATTCCCACTCTGGCCTCCTGAAGTGCAAACATGCTCTTGAAAATAAAGAGGGAGAATGCTTAAACATCCCTAAAACTAAATAATTAGCTTTAAGCTCAGTGCAATATAACTGCACCTTTTTAAGAGGGGATTTTTTTTTTCTGAAGCTTTTCCCCCTTCACTGCTCTCTGAAAATGTATTCAACGTGAGGCAGGGAGCAATTATGGAAAATTTCAGGCTGGATGGTTAAGCATGGCCAACTTGTAATTGAAAACGCAGAAAGAAAATGTTTGGCAACATGGGATAAAAGGTGCTGTGTAAGTGGAGGATCTTTTCTTATTGCAAACTGTCCTCCCTGATATGTTAATTGTGTTTGGCCTGATCCCTTGACAGTCCATTAATTTGTTGTCCAATTGCAGGCTGCTGAGGGCAGATAAATTTCAGCCTATTATGGGAACACCCTAGAAGTTTGTATAGAAAGGAAACTCTCTGTTTCCTGTATCATCCTTCTGGGGATCTTGAAAGAGTTCACAAAAGCTACTTAAGCAAACTTTCTTTGCTGGATAACGGAAGGAAAGGAAGCTGTGAACAAGCAAACAACACTCAATTCCATGAGACAAGAGATACTAGTAGGTCATTTGAGAGAAAGTAAAGTCTGTGAATGAAATGCACACACACACACACACACACACACACACGCAGAAGACATTTTGTACTTTGAAAACAATAGGTATTTCTGCACCCCTGCACTCTTTCTGATTAAAAACAATGTAAATTCTGCAAACCACCATTAAGAGAGGAGGTGGAACATCCATCCCTGCAAGGCATGAAATGTAAGGAGGGTTTTTGTGGTTCAAATAATACATCTCAGGATGAGTTGGA